CCTTAGATTGAGAAAGGACCTGGAACTCCACTTTACCTGAACATGTGCTCCAGCATCAAACCTGATTTTGTAACAGGCTTGTGTTTGGTGGGTATTAGACAGGAGGTGAAAACATACACCAGATCAAGCCTTTTCAAGCGCTCATACAATTCTTTTTCTGAGTCTCCTTAGACTTAAGCAGGAGCTCTGGTCTAGGTGAGGAGGCTGGTGCAGCTCATGGGGCCCAGGAAGCTTCAGCAGCTACTGGCTTGCAGCTTTGGACTTGGGCACCTAGCCCTCCCTTGGACCCTTTGGGTCCCTTTCTAGGCCTATTTGCTGTTATCTCCTATAAAGGCATGACATTTTCCTGTAGAGAATCATAAAAGTTTGGAAGGAACCCTAAAGATCATCAGGTTCCAACCTCCCTGCCATGAGCAGGGACACCTCCCACCAGACCAGGCTGCACAAACCTCATCCAACCTGGCCTTTAACACCTCCATGGATGGGGCTTTCACAGCCTCTCTGGGCAACCTATTCCAGTACCTTACTACCCTCATGGTGAAGAATTTCTTCCTGATGTCTAACCTAAATGTCCCCTCTTTTCAGTTTAAAACCATCACCCCTTGTCCTATTACTGCCCTCTCTGATGAAAAGCCCCTCCCCAGCTTTCCTGTAGCCCCTTCAGGCACTGGAAGGTGCTATGAGGTCTCCCCAGAGCCTTCTCTTCTCCAGGTTGAACAGCCCCAACTCCCTCAGCCTGTCTTCATAGCAGAGCTGCTCCAGGCTTTGATCATCTTCGTGGCTCTTCTCTGGACCCTCTCCAACAGCTGCATGTTTTTTGTGTGCTGGGGGCTCCAGAGCTGTGCACATTACTCCAGGTGGGGTCTCACCAGAGCAGAGCAAATATATCTATAACAGAATGATTTTGAAGGCTTGGTTTTATACAACCCATTTTTATCACTTCAGCACATCTGTAACATTCAGATGCCCTTACCTTTTTGATGTGTAACCTACAGGGACATTTATATCACCTCCATGATTAAAACCATGAATGTGTTTATTAGCACTGGATGAGCTACACACACAGTTGTACAAAAACCTGGGGATTTGCATGAGTGTCAGAGCCCACCAGATGGCTACCTTTGCTAAACTATCCTGGTGCTTGCTGAATTGAGCTCTTGCTGGCTGGATTCCTGAGGTTCAATGCTTCTTGCTAGTAGCTCCTTATAATCAGGAGCACCCTCGTTGTCCGTTTCCACAGCCACTTGCAGAGGAACAGGTTAAATTTTTGTTTCCACAACGTTTTTTCCAACAATGCCCACTGTTTTGTGTGGCAGGAAGCACTGTTCATGTAGAACTGCTCACAAATCCTGTGTCTTTGTCTTCCTTCCAAAAAAAACCCAGTCCCAAAACCAAATAAATATTTTCAATAAGAGCTTGTAAGGGTTACAGTTCTACTGATTCTACTAGAAGATTTCTACTAGGAACCTTCAGCCAGACCTGAATTGTTAAGGCCAAGACTCAGAAAAGTTTAGAGAAAATACAATCACAAGGTCGCATGCACAAGGTGAGTATGGACCCATCATCCTGCCTCTAACTTCAGAGGGCATGTGCTGAAGGTTTGTTTTGATTAACTGAGCTCTCTTATGTCACTAATGATTCATATTAGAGGGGCAGACCCTTCATTCCAGTCCTGAACAGCATTAATTTATACACTCTAGTGTTTTCCTTCCAGGATTTTACTTCCCAGGTGCTACTGTGTGTTCAGGTAAGAAGAGAAGTCTTTGTTTTCAGTTCTTGTTCAACCACTGAAACACCACTAGTTATAATATATCTATTATAGATATTTATAATGGATATATAGGGATGTACATATAAATATATACAAAAATATATATAAAAGGATGGCTTAGCTGCACCAGCACAGCTCACTCCAGCTCAGAGTTACTGTGTCCTTTTTGAAATACAGAACATTCAACCTTCATTACAACTATTCACCTGAACAACACTCTAAGGGCCAAATCATCCAAAGTGTTCAGGTGCCTGGAAATCCTGCAGCATCCCCAGTAAGTACAAGTGTGTTATAGTACAATTGCAAAGGCATTTGAGTGAGTTAGATAAAAATACACAACAGAGTGTGAATGACATTTGCATTTATTTTATTATATTTTTTCCCAGAAGCCCTGAGGACAAAAATAGAATAGTTCCAGTAGAAACATGACCCACTTTAGCAACTAAGATGTTTGAAAAGTTGTTGAGCTCAGGAACCTCAGAGTTGAAAACTGCTGTAAATAAAGTGCTACACAGAGGTGTGGTGTATCCAAAAAGTAGCTTGATTTAATTTGGACTCAAGAAGATCTCTGTTTAATGAAGCTATGCTGGATCTTTGGAGACAGATGCCTTTTTAAAAAATTTTCTACAGCAGAGCTACAGAATATCCAGGAAAAGGAGAAAGCTCCTCAAATCCTCTGAATTATGTCTGACCAGACCTGATGAGAATGCTTAAGTGACAAAATACAAGAGCCATCATGTGTATATATGCTGAGTTGCCCTTGTAGATAAATTATTTGATCAGATGATGCAATAATTAACATGGGAAGCAGGAGTTTCTCACACCCTGGATGAGGGGAAGATGCAGGCTGGGAAGAGGTCAGGTCAGCACAAAGGCAGTGCTAGAGAGGAGGGGTGTGTTTAACACATTCTCCTGTGAAAAGTCAATGGTCTTTCCTGCTTCAAGGAAGAAAAAGGAAGAAAAGGATTCATATCCAACTTGGGTTTTTCCCCATCTGACAAGTTCTTGTAACAAAACCAGGCAAAAGAGTACAAGAGCTTTAAAAAGGTCATCAGTAGCCTGGCCCAAAGTCCATGCAGTGTGCCTGAGTCAGCCAAGTCACTTCCTGGGAAACACTAAATCTGCAAATTCTTTTTCTGCATGAAAGAGGCACCTTAGAAAAACAGCTTTTTGCATATCTGTGTTTTTGATAAAGCAGGGGGAGAGGAAACAGATCACATGATAGGATCAGGTTTAACTGGGGAATCAGACACTCGGGTCCAGAGAGGAAGTTTCAACTGATAATTCTACATTGGTGTGACTGAGTAGCATCATAATGGAGGGTTACTTATTAAGCACACATTTTTTTCACAGATTTTTACCTTTCCCCTTCCAATCTTGGTCTTTGGGCTTTTGAGTTCACAGGAAAGAAGGGTTAAGTGCCACTACACAATATAAATTCCCTCCTCTTTTTACAGGGAGGAGAGAAAATGTGGCTTATAAATGAACACCTTCAGTTTGTGCAGGCCCAAGAATCTCTGGAATAGCAGCACAATGATCTATGTGGATCTTCTGAATGTTGCTTTCCAAGATCTAATAGTTTTATTTAGACTGTTCTGGGATCCCAGCATCCAATGATCTGTATTACACTCAAACGTGCAGGGCTTTGTTGTTGTTGGTTTTGTTTGGTTTTGGTTTTATTTTGTGTCTTTATCTGTAAGAACTGATAAACTGATTTTATTTCTTGATTCAGGTGACCTGGTGATGAACCTGATCTGCCCTTGTCTACATTTCCACCTGAAGTCTTCACGGCCAAGTTAGCTAGACTGATAGTAGAAGTGGCTTTGCTTTCCAGTGCAGTAGATACCTTTTAAAATTCTGACTGTTTATAATTTTATTTCTGGTATTTTAGAAGTAAATCTTCTAAGTACCCATGTTGAAGAGGAAAATGTCTTCTAAACTGCAGAGCTCTTGCAAGATAAACTAGCAAGATTCAGCATTTATTGGTTTCTAAGCAGTACCTGTGCAAGTCAAAAGGCAGCTGGCAAAACTGTAAATTAGCTTTTGTCTGAGGTGGTCAGAAGCTACACTAAGAAGTTGAATTTTTCTCCTTTTAAAATTCTTACAGGCTTTTGATGCATGAGGAAACACCTCCAGCAGGTGAGTGACTAAGCCAGTGATGTAAAGAATCCATTCTGATTTGTACTCTGTATTTCATTGGAAGACTTCCACACTTCACTTCGAAGTTGATTTTCAAACATTGTCTTCCTTGATGCTCTGGATTTCCTTCACCCATAAAGCTGTATGAAACTTTGCAAGACCACAACTGGTCAATGTTTGGTTCACTCTGCTTAAGACAAGACTAAAACCAGCAAAGCAGGTTTGGGAGACCTGATTAAGCACTCAGCCAATAACACCAAACCACACTGGATCCAGCTGCTTGATCTTGGAATGCAAGTTAACTTTCTGGAGTTAGAAGAGTCCAGATGCTTCTGGATCCTGAGGTGCATCCTCAGACCTGAGCCTGGTAACATTCTAACAGTTCCCTAGTACATTATGCCACTTGAATGACTTTCTAAATCCTCACACTTTCACTCTGAGCTTTTTGGAATGGGCTGAACTGCAGCACAGTCTGACTACCCCTACAAACTTTCACAATATGCCTTCCAGGTGTAGTTCGGAAAGATACTGGGATACCATTGTGGGAAGACAAAGGACCTTTGTCACTTCAGCTTTTCCACCACCACAGCTACTAATTTTGCTTTATCTTCTGTATTTCAGTTTGCTGAAATCAACCTCCACTCCATTAATTATCTGAAGGCATCAGTTGATTTGGATTTTGTGTGTGTGTGTACACAAGAGCTCTTTAGAGGTACTGCAGGAGCCACTGTGCTGCTTGAGGAATCTTAGAATAGTAGGATGAGCAAATAATCTCTGGGTTGCCAGCGCTGCTAGAAATCTGTTTCTAATATATGTTTTTTTCTGAAGGCATGAAATTGGAAGCAAATTACAACACACGTTGGCAAAGGAGGTGTAAGTTACACGAGTCCCTCTGGAAGGAAAAAGAACAACCCACCCAAAACCTGAACATTTTACCCAGAGTATGTACAAGTCATAAATCATGCTCTTTCATGTACATTTCCAACTTGTTAAATGCCTTCCATTCTACACCACCACATGTTGGCCAAAATAATGATACAATAAGTTAATTATCCAATAAGTTAATTATCAAACAAGCTCAAGCTGAAAACAATTTAAAAATTATCCCAGTGAAAATGCACTTGGCATAGTACTTCAATTATGAAGATCTGTGATCAAGGTTTTGTGCACTTGCACTCTTGATAATCTTCTTTGCCCTTCATTTTAGTACAGTTAATTCAGTGCATAGTTAAACTGGTTGGCAAACTTCTCATGTTTTCTTTGGTCCACTCTGTTCATTGCTTTCACCACCCGTTTCATTGCACCTCTGAAAGAGAAACAAAAAATAATAGTAAAAAGAATTATGTTGATTCCACATCATCTCAGAGAACATTAATGAATGCTGGGAGAAAAAAAAATGAACTCTGATTAATAACTACCAGGCTTCTGAACACTGCACTGATGAGGCTGAACAAATTTGTCTTGTTAATTCAATTAGCTGCAGCAATATAAGTAGTTTAATTCAGCAATGACTTTATTAACAGGAGTAAACAAATTAAAGTCTTTCAGTTTAATGGCTGTGTGTTCCACCCTCCTAGCATCATTCCTGAGAGTCACACATATCAACTTTGAGTTTCCACAGCACTGAACTGATCATGGTGGAAAAATAACTAGAAGTATCTAACAGGATGAAAAACACTCACACTTAAGAAACTCTTATGAAATCCAGCCTGCAGAATCTGGAATGCTTTTGTGAGGGAAGGGTTTGCTGTTCAGTTCATGTAACTCTAACTCATTTACCAACTTTCACAGGTAACTGAAAACCCATTTCACCAGCTGTGGGCAGAGTAAGAGTTGCTCACACCAGCAGCAGCCCATTCCTCAGCAGCAACCATTTCATTCACAGGTACAATATTAATTCAGAAAGACACCAGAGATTGTCAGGTATCTCTATGCAGAGATAGATCAAGTGGTATTGAAGTCCTCTGCAGTGCCTGCTGTGCTTGAAGGTGTGTCTGGAGTGTTCTTCAGATTCAAACAGGAAAGAAAGAAATGAGCTCTGGAGCTCTTTAGCTTTCTGGTGTTTCTAAATGTGATGAGGATTTGCCCCCATGTTGCTGCTCTTTTTCTGCTGCCAGTAAAGATGGTGCCCAGACATTTCCCTTTTGGGGGGGGTGACTACCTTGCTTTTGAACTGGGTGAGTGAAGATGTGCATTTTTTTTCCTTTCACATGATCTTTTGAGTAAAGATCATACAGCTGAGATTTTGAGGATGAGGAAAATTATGTCCAGAGAGCAGAAGATTCTCATAAAAGGCATAAAGAGAGCAGCCTCTATATCCTTTGGTAAGGCAGATGAATGGGTTTACAATGCCAGAAGGGTAGGAAAGCATAAGAAAGGGAGTAGCAGAAGTCAAGAGGATGCTTCATTATATACATTTGCCCCCACAGAAAATCATGGTAGGTGCTATGCACAGCTGAGTGCATCCTGCCTAGGGAACTTTGCTCTTTGCTGGATTCTAGAGTTACCATTTTTATCAGTTACTTCAGCTCAGAAATCCAAGGCTGGTATTCACATGTGTGTTCAGATGTCACCCTGCCTCTATTTATGAAGAAGGAAGTTCTCTCTTAAACACATCTCTGTGAAGACCTGGTCACTCTGCCAATGTGGGAGGTATAGCTAAGGGCTTGGTTTGAGGGTCCCATTTCAGAACATGGCACAAGTGATGTCTCCTTTGACTTCTACATCAGACTGTTACTCTCCGTGTTGCCACAGTCTGCCTTTATCACTTCTGAGGTTGCTGCAGGCTGTGTAGTAAAGTGAAGACAAGACATCCACCTGGTAATGTGCACCAGCCTTTTCCAGGATCAGGCCCTACACACCATTCCACCTACATTCCTGTGGTCATCTCTCAGAGGCAAGTTAATTTCTGTTTCAGCTAACTGCTCTCTGTAATGGCTCCGTTTCACAAGCCATTTTGAAACATCTGAGAACAGAGGATACCTCTTAATAAAACTTCTAAATGGTGGGATTAAAGACTTTCTCAGTAGCAACTGGCATGAGAATCAACATTCTGAAAAAACACCTTGGAAGAGGTATACTTTTAAAAAAATTCTGCCAACGAAGTTGCCAGAGTAAGGAAAATGTGGTCATGGTTTTGCACTTCAAATGTTGCCTAATTGGTAGAAGAAAAGTGAGCCTTTAGCAGCATAGAGTGGCCCTGACACTTTCATGTCATGTAGGTTTTACATTAGCACCACTGGATTGTGTGATACTGTAAATGAAATGAGATCCCACTTGGATGATCTGTGTGCAATTTCACTTAACTTTATTGGCAGACTAGAGCCTGGGTTTATCACCTATACATTTCAAGTAATTTGGGGTTGTTATAAGGAGCCAAGGTTATCATCTTGTTTAGTGCTGCAAAGCATGAAACCTATTAAAACATGACAAGTTTGATTCCCTATGCCTGGCACTAACACACATTCAAAATCATTAGCACAAACCATAGTAAACCAAAACCAGCTTTTAAAATTTATTTTGTTAAAGCTGATATTAAATTCTGATCATTAGAACTGTAGGTCTCTGACTTCTAACTAAGACCAGGTAACATGAGAATTTCTGTAACCAAAAGTGATGTGGATTTGGCCTTGTTATTATAACCATTACACCAGAAAAGGGAAAATTGAATTTAAACACATGTTGTGCCTTGGCTGCTGTCTAACTCACCCAGTGTGCTTAGGGAACAACCCACCAGTAATGATTTGATAATAATAATTTTTCTTTTTTGATTTGACAACTTCACACTTTTCACTTTCCTTCGACTACTTCATTTTTGACATGTGAAACTCTTTAAACTTTTAAAATGCTTTTGATAAAGACCCAATTGATAAAGACCAGAGCGTAGGTAGGCAAAATTATGTTGCAGCCACATCAAACCAAGACCAGAGATCAGAAATGGTGTAACACAGTGGGCACATAGAGCTTCTCTATATCACTCAGCCTGGTGGGTTGGCAGGTGCTCATTTCCATCTGTGTCTGTTTTAAAGTTAACTCATATACGTCTCCATAAGTCATGGACACACCTTTGTCTGACCTGTCTAAATGCCAAAGCAACCCACACAGTTTCTTCTCAAGCTAAATGTAGGGCAAGAGCTACTTTTTGCACATGTGCTGGGAGGAAACAGAGGAGTAGAGAAACAGCACTATCTCCAGAAAAACATGGTGTCCACATGTCTCTGGTACAAGGAGGCACATAATCAGATAATCTTTTAGTTGGATAAGACCTGTAAGATCATCAAGTTCAACTGTTAACCTTGCACTGCCAAGTCCACCACTACATAAAGGTAAAAGATATAATAGAGATAATAATAATCTCCAAACTCTTACACTGAAAAGAGATCTGCAGCAGGTTTCAGTCCTTGATATTTACAAAAGACAGCAGGGGTGAAGTGAACCAAGACCAGAACACAAGGATCTAAATATTTTTCTTAACAAACTGAACACATTCTCAGGAAAGGAAGAGAGAAATGCAATGGCAGTTTGTCACTGCATAACGCACAAGAAGGGTTCACTGTGTATACATACTGGACTGGAAGGCACTGTCTCAGGCCCAGCTAGCAATTTCTTCTATCCAAGAATGAGAGAAAATACACAGGAAGCCCAGGCAGCAGTCCAAAGTTTGGGAAGGTTTCTGAGCATACACCAGAGGCTTGAGGGTCACTGTCATGACACCACTACATGCCAAAAGCCAAGAGATTTTGATAGATCCTTTTATTAACTAAAGTTCTGCTCAGGATAGCCCACCTTAGGCTTTCAAAAGCAAAAATTTAATTTTCTCTCCATCTCCACTACTACAGTGTGCCTGATGCTGTTAAGTTGTGTCACTCTGAACATAAAATCTTCTTTTCAGATGCAGTACTATTTGTACACATAAAGAAGCATCCATCTAACTAATAAATCATAGAACTACGATCAATACAGCAATCAAATGATTAAAAAAACCCCAACTTTAAAGGATGAAAATAAATCTTTCCTAGGAAAGTTTTGTAAACTAGATGAAAATAATTCTCAAAGAAATAACCTTGCTACTCGTTACCCTAGAGAGTTATGGAAGTTATTCCTGCTCTGCAGTTAGCAGAGAAAGCTGTTTAGTAAGTTCATGTAAATATAGAAACAGAAGGTACTGTTGAAAATAAAGGAAAGAGCAGTTTAAGAGGCTTTAAAGATCAACATAAGCATCTTACTTATTGAAAACCTTCTTCTCAAGCCGGGAACGAGAAGTATTAGCCTGCTGCTTCAGGTCTGTCAGGTTGGGGTATTTTTTCTTCTTCCCTTTCTTTTTCCCTCCTTTTCCATTACTTTTAGATGAACCAAGATCAAGTCCTGTGGCTGCTTCAACTTCTCTCATAAATTCTGGATCTCTCCACTCTGTTTAAAAGAAAAAAAACCAACATTTAATTTGAAACTTCAAACCCAGGTGGAATTTGCAGTCTCCTAAAGTAGGGGTTGTTGTATCCACTGGGTGAGGGCAGAGTCACTGCACTGCAAGTTGGATACACAAAGGAAGGGGAAGATAAAGCCGTTAGCCAAAATGACAGATCTTGATGAAAAAGCCCAGCCAGCCTGGGATTAGTATCTATTATTAGCTGCTGTAGATAAAACTGTTCTGTAGGAAGACTTCAGTCAAGTTTCTGCAGCAGCAGAGCAGCAAAATTCCAAGGAAATTATTCCATGCAGGAGAGACGACGTAAAACGTAACAATTATTATTTAGAAAGTGAGCAAAATGCCAACAAGGTAGCTGTGGAACTAATCTCCAGAAATAAATTATGTATAAGCTAAAAAATCAAATTGGAAATATGGAATATGTCACCATTTGAGCAGAGTGAAGAGTGACAACTTAATCACATTTCTGCATCAAAGAATATTGGCTTCCAAACGTGCAAGTGGTGTCTGACACCTACAGAGCATTCTTGAATAAGACAACATGACCCTGTTACCCTGAGCCCAATTTTGCATCTGAAAAAGATACTCCTTTTGAAGCATCCCATCATTCATCAGATTAATTATCTAAATCAAACTCCTTTTCTTGACAATAGTACAAGGGTTAATTTATCTAATTGAAAAGTTGTTTCACAGTTTTATCAAACAATTAATGCCTCATCATCCAACCACACACTGTAAATGGATTCTGATCAGAGATGCCACCATGGGAAAGAAGCATGAACAATTTAGACTGCAGACTCTGAAGAAGCAGTGGTCTTTCATCTTTAGTGCAGAGCTTTGCATCTCAGAACAGGGTAAAATAATACAAAGCTGATAGTAAAAATATGACAGGAGGATGGACACTGTCAAGAGCAAAAGTAGAATAGTGACATTGCATTATAAGGATTTTGAGCATCTGGGTTGGAAAAAAAAGTAGCAAGCACAACTTCAAAGAGTAAGGTAGTCCAAACCCAGCTTAATGTCAGAATTCTGTATTTTAACAACCAGTAATTGCCAGCCATTTGTCATATAGTTTTCCATATATCAGTCAGCTCTTGTTGCCTGCAGAAATTCTAATGTCTACAACCTTTTAACATCTACGTGGATACACAAAAATAAACAGTTCTAAACAACTCTACAATTTCACTTATACACCAAGAGGGTCACTGTGTGTGACAAATATAGAATCACACACTGGTTTGTGATTATCTAGTTCCAACCCCCCTGCAGGAACATCTTCCACTAACCAGGTTGTTCCAAGCCCCATCCAACCTTGAGCACTTCGAAGGAGTGGGCACCCTCAACTGCTCTGGGCAACCTGTTTGGTAACAACATTTCAGGGAGGCCAGAGGTAATGGTGTTTAGGAATACCAGAGCCATTTTCCAAGGAAAGGTCAGATCTGACCTACTATGATACATGAAAGCAAGAACTGATTAAAATCCAACACACCAAACAGCATGAGGAAAAGGAAGCTGTACAAGAACTGAGCAGGAGAAGTGTAGAGGGAGAAAACAGAACCCATATACTCGATAGATCATACGACCTCACAGACTTCTTCAGTTTTTTTTGAAGTGAAGGAATACAGAACAGCACAATTCAGGCACTGGAACGATTAATCCAAGATTAAGGAAAACTGTCTAAACAGTTTATCTCCCAGTAATAAGAAGGCGTCACAGTTTAGGAACCCAGTGAATGGAGCAATTGTTTAAACACAACGAAAAAATGCCGGCATCCAGTAGAGATGAAATGAGCATTTGAGTAAAATGAAGGAGCAATTTAAAAGCCTTTGAGAAAAATCAATAGAATGCCAGGGAAGAGCAGCCTTTTTGAGCACTGATGGGCCCCTAAAGCTCTTCATACATTGTTACTGAGTTTAGCAGCAGGGAAAAGAAAATTACACAGTTTGCAAGGGTAGGCGGGAATCAATACTGTAGTTAGTAAAGAGATGCTATTTCACATCTGACTGGCCAGCGGCCTGCCTTCACCAGCCTGTCCTGATACCTGTTTGTTAACAAGTCACTAAGGGCTGAAAAACCAGATACTCTTCAGGGCTGACACAAAAAATAGGCACTTAATTTGCTCCTGTGTGTGAACTATTGGAAAAGGATGAACACTGCAGATTAGCAGGTCGGCGTAATCCCACCCGCTGCTCTGTTTCGAGACCCAGGAGCCCAAAGCACCATTTTGTGGACATTAGCCACAGTTTAAAATTTTATACTAAGGTAAAAAATGCTCCATAATAAGTCCATAATAAAAACAACAGTGTTGCCAAAAACATAGCAATTATCACACCAGCTGTATTACTTTTACATCATTGTTCCTAACTAAAACCACACAACAATGAAAAGAAACCTACCATCCAACAGAACGAAGACGTAGGAAGAATTTTGGTGCAATTTAACGACGCAACCGAGGCCCAGATGTTAATGTTTAGCACTTTTCAAGCTGTCATCATTAACAAATGATGTTGTCAATCATAAGAGCAAAGCACACACTGTACAGGTTGCCATTTGTATATTTTCCATAGCAGCACTGCTCAGACTTGCTTGGAGACCAAACCCCAAGGCAAACCAAACAAACACCCCCCCCAAACCACAAGCCTAAAAGAATAAACACCCTTTTAAAGGGCTGATGAAAATATTACAAAACAAATACAAAAATACTGAGGCAGAACAAAAAAGAAAGCAACAAAAATCAGCAGATTAAAATATGTAGTGATATCTGGTATACACATGGAAACCTTTAAGGTTTTGTCCAATAAATTAAGTGCCATAGCTTGTTCAGTATCTCCCCAGCCAGATGGGATGGACCTTTGTATGACACCTCAGCTTAACAAAGCACTTAATAATGCAACACAGCAATGTCAACACTGGTTTGGGACTAACATACACATCCTTGTGGGCCAGGGGTGAGAAACCTCTAACAACACTGCGTTGACACTGTAATAAAAATAAATATTATGTCTAGCCTCCAGTAATGGCAATTTCACAGGGAGAGAAAAAAAAAAAAGAAATCAATATTTTTCAGTGCAAGTGATTTTTATACCAGGGTATTAGTTTCTAGTTTGAAACTAGTCTATCAAGAACACCTGCTAGCTTAATTTGCTAGTTTTAGTTTGTCATAACTAAATTGGAAACTTTCCTTTTTAGCACAACCTCCAAACCCCTGGCCTGGTTTTGCTGTGACAGCCCAACTGTGCCCACACTGTTTGCTGGATGGCAGTTTAGGACACTTCTCCACCCAGACAAGGATGGAAACTGCCTTCAGATATAGCACTTCTTGACACACACAGGCACCAAGAGTGTTCAACTGCTGCACTGGTGTGGTGCTGGTCACTGCCAAGCACAGTTGCTCAAATAGGGCCAAATCAGGATTCAAGGGAACTGGGTGGGTCAGTTGTGTGTTTATATGCACATTCATTCTACACAGGCTTCTTTGGACAACAGATCAACTGCTGTTTGTTATGCTCTGAAGAGCACAGTAATATATATAAAACTGTGAAACTGAAGAAAAACTGAGTATACTGCAAGATACCAAAATCATAAAGATTACACAGGTGAGTGTAATTAGAATGCAGAATACTCACCTGGAATAAATAGCTTAAAGTAGAGAAAACTACGACTTGCTGAAGGAAGGCAGATTAAACAAAAGCTCTGAAAACAAATCTGTCCCCTCCAATTATACACTACATCTTTGTTGGATAGAACCCTCTCCCATATTCCTTTGCAGTCCACCAATTTCCAGTAGCTTCCTGGTTGCTGCTCCCCCAGCACTCTATGAAACGTTCCCTTCTGTCCATCACTAATGAGGTTTAGTTGTACTACTGCAAAAAAAAAGTCCTTTAGTTCCCTTGGAAGTCTCCCTACCTGTGTATTCATTAGTTGCTGTCTTTCTCACTGCCTGCATTCCTTACCTAGCAGTCCAGAGCTTTATCTTGTCTAAAAATGCCCAAATAATCCTTGGAAAGAATAAACTTTCCCTCTGGAGCATTCCACACCTGAAAGCAGCAGTCAGGATGCAAGGAGAAGGTCATCAATTTTGTTTCCCATCTCCACTGTTTAAAAACAAAATCCAGAGTACTGTGCAGTAACGTGCAAACATATAAATAGCACAGGTCTGCTTGCTCCCTCTCTCAAGCCCATCACAGACATCTTGCCTATCCAGTCTAGTCATAATGCCAATAAAGCAAAGCCCAAGGTGAGGAAGAGCTGAGAGAATAGGGTTCGGACAAAAACAGAAATATGATCCAGTTCTGTGGGTCTCAACCTGTGCCTTCAGCAACACAAGAATCTGCTCCTCTTCCACACAAACTGTCCCATTCCTTGCCCAACTTGTATCTACACTGCATCTATACATAGACACAATATATACAATACATAGATACATTGTGGATACAATGTAGTATATATTATGAACTGTATAGATACAATGTAGATACACCACAAAATTATCATCTAGATTGTAAATATACATTGTAGATATTGTAAATATTGTATACAATACATACATAAACACATATACAATAAAGGTATTATGTTTATATTTAAAGCTTATCTCCCACCTCTGTCTAACATTTTGACTTTTTTTAAAAGAAGTTATTGAGGCACAAACCTGGCTGAGCTGCTTGCTTCTCAAACTTCATGTTTTCTTCTCTGGCTCTGTCCTCTGCATTAACAGGAATCCCAGATTCATCCCGAGGAATTATCTTTCCATGGAAAGGGCACTGCAGAAAGAAAAGGAAAAAAAACCATAAACACTTCTGAATGAAAACACTTACATGTTATTCAATATAGCTTAAAGACAGACATTGGAATCAAGAGATCCAAACTTCACACTTGATCCCCAGTCCCCCTTAGAAAGTATCAGGATCCCATAAACATAATGTGTTTAATATTCAGAATGTCAAAGAAATAAGCTTTTTGTGATATAAATATCCAATTTCAAGAGGCAGGTAGCACCTTCCTGGGACCAGGGCACAAATGCTGCATTGCTTTTTGTTGTTTGTTATATCCTGCAACAATCTCATTCAAACTATTTTAGTGCATTGAGATCCTTCAGCCTCAGGTAATATGGAACAAACAGGGATAATTAGAACAAAGTATTTAAACAAAGTACTTCTGCTGAATAGGGCTGAATAGAACTGTTAATATCAAATATACCTTTAAATGAGGAAAACTTTTTGAAAAACAACTGTCTCTGCTTCACTGCCAGGTACTGAAACTTCACAGTAATAAATCTAAATACCTATGCTGAATGCCAAAAACTGTTCAAGACTTCTTTAAATGCTTACAGCTTCCTTACAGAAAGGATACTTCTCTTATGAAGCACGTATCAACACCAAACATCTCCAGATACAACTTTGTTTCACTGCCTTGAGCTATATTTACAAGATGAAATAAACTTTTATGCCCACGGTTTAATGAGATCTTCTCCACATGGCACATATCCTGGAAGTTATGTTACTTGGTGCCCACCTTAATCCGATCTTGTCTTTCACACAGGCTTCCATCGGGCATCGGGGCTCGACATTTGTGTTGCACTGGTTCAAACTTGCCAGCAAATGTTATATATCTAGTTTTTAACATTTCGGTTATTTCTTTATTTTCCACCTCTTCCTCTACTTCACTGGGTGCCCAGAATCGATGCTCAGAAGTAAATCTGGGAAAACAATGAATGAAAAATTCTTCTCAATGTTGTAAGAAAGCACACAAAGGTGCCAGAATCATCCTGTGACAAACTTACATGTAAAAGAATGGGAAGCTTTCCTAGTGAATTAAAAAAAAACCTGGGAATCTACCATTCTTTCTTAAATCTCCTATATTATAAAGATGTTCTTAAAATATCACCAAAGCCTGTCTAGTATTAATTTCTTGCTTAACCTGTTAACCTATTACAAATCCTAGCTCTAGTTCATGATCTGACACCCAGTTATCTGATACCCAGTTTCCGTGAATAACTTCATAATGCTGCACGTAACATTCTTCCTAACAAAATACCTCTGTGATTAAACACAGAAGATAGATCAGGGAGAAAACAGTTTGATCTTAAATTGTCTGATCTTACTCCTAGCAGCTCTACTCCTGCAGCAGCAGACAAGCAGCTGCTGAAATCAGTGTGTTGCAATACACTAGGATCAAGGAAGACAGCAAACAATCAGCTGAGCCTTACAGAGATTTTTTCATCCAGGTTCTCCTACACAGTGTCTGTAAATCTGAGCAACTTATGGGATGTTCCTCTAGGAAATTAGGCTAATCCACTGAAAAATCTATTTTAAAATTAGAGATCTTACCTATCTTTACAAACATATATAGGCAAATGACACTCTTTATTAATCTGGGGTGAAAAAGATCAGTACCATTCCAGTGGCTGTGGGGAGTGGGAGAGAAGGGGAGCAAGGAGTGGTGTAGTATTTTCACATTTTCTCAACATAATCTTGTTTTAGCCACTCTAGGCTGCCAACAGTTTATAATGAGAAACGGGCAACCCCAGAGAGATATTACCTGACTCATTTTAGATGCTAATCTTAGGACACAATGACTGTCTCTCTGATGGTAAATGTTTCTTTCTTCTAATCATGAAAATAAATTAGAGTGACCAGCTAAGCTTAGCTATCTAACTTTAAGACATCTGAAGTTAAACAACAATATTATTGCAAATTTAAAGAAACACATTAAAGAGAAAAAATACAGCTAAACTAAGCAAAACAATTCCAGCCTGCATGTCTGCTGCTCATTACAAACAAAATGGAGGTACCTAGACGACAGAAGTCTTGACAAGGACTTCAAAATCATAAAGGACACTTTACAATCCCCTTCTTCCACGTAGCTCTTCTACCAATCAGCCCCAAACTGATTTGAGAGGATTTTCTCCCTTTATATCCAATTCCCCTCACTCATGAACACCCCTGGGTGCCATTCCTACTTCTGAGACCTCACCTTATATAGACTGCAGAGCTATATATATCTGAACACTGGCTTCATTCATCAACAACAACAATCTCAATTCAGCAAAGCACATAAACCAATACTTAAATCATTACTTCACTGGGCCTGACGAGTTTTGAATTTCTCCTAAGCAAGTTTTCAGTAAGGTAAAAATATCCAAAAAGGGGAGGAAATAATCTGACCTTAACAACCTACAACATACAGAGCTCGTTTTGCTGCAATATTGAACATTTTAAGCTATGTAAAGACATTAGAATTACATTTTTAAAGGGATTAAGCAATTTCAAAGCCATTCTGTGATTTGCCAAATCATCAGTAAAATGCTCAACAAGTAAAGACCTTGTTAAAGAGATTCATTCTATGCAGTAATCCCTTCACTGACTATACCTGGGTAATGCCAGAGAAATTGTAACCTGCCATGGAGTAAAAATAACTTTCTTCTGGTAAACTTTCTATCTGGAGACAAAGGCAAAAGAGTTATAGTGGAGCCCAGTTCAAGATTAAACACTGTAATAAATTTCCACAGTTTTTGGTTTAAAAAAAAAAGTTCTCAATCACACAATTCTGCAAACTATAGCCTAAACAAAAACATTTATAAGAATCTTTATAATATACCAATATGACTTCAGTCAAACGTTTGAATGGTGCTGGTGCAGTATTTCAGCTTCAGAAATGAGGTGGCATGATTGTATAATAGACAGTAAATTAAATAATTAAGTACATTTCTTATTTGCTTAGTTTTAATATAACCCTGAAAACAAGACTGACTACTAGGTCTGTGTTACTAACCTTATAAACATGAGGAGTAAACATTCCTAAAAAGACACCATGAAGGGTTTCTATGTGCAAAGCAGCCTAAAAGAATCTTTTAGTAAAATTCTCATGTCTCTTGGTGGTCTGAACTCCCCCTCATCCTCTAAATTATCAATTACAGTTCCATGAAGATGAAGAAGCATTTAGCAGTTGTGCACACCAACCTTTCCAATCAGGAAAAAAGTTCTATTTAATATTTTTACCTACCCTCAAAAAATTGGCATCAAACAAATCTCAAGGAAATTAAAGTTCTGTTTTGCATTATATATCACCAATCTGTGTTTGGGAACTAGACTTAAAATAGTATGATTCTTGCACAGATATTAATAAATATTCCTGTTTACTACATGCATAAACTATTTTCTCCCAGCTTTACTTACAAGGAGGTGAGAAAAGAACAAACCAGTGCTAAATCCTGTAGTTTTCTGATTTCCTGCTGTTGCAACATAAGCAAAGCTTTAAAAAGTCAGAACAGGAGATCTTTGCTGGAAAAACTGATGCATGTGACAAGTAAAACCTTTTTGAGAGGGGAATCTAAAGGGGAACAGATAATCAACTAGAAGATCAACAACCTCACTGAAGACTGTTACTGATCTAGACCAATAACAGAGGCTTTAAGGGAAATTATATAGCTATACATTAGAACAAATAAAAGACAAGTAAAGGTTAACTGAAATCTAAAAGAAAGTCCAGGTCCTGGAGAAATGTTGCATTCTTCCAGTGAATTTATATCAACTTTGTTCATAAGATGATGTAAAACTTATCAAAAGCTTGAGTAAATATAAAATCTAAACCCAGTATGATGCATCCAGACATCCTGGAACAAGCACTAAATGAGCTAATTCAAATATCCAGTTAAACAAAACTTATTTAGAAAACATCTTTCTGGTAGCTACTTTCTCACTATCAGAATCTTAATTTATCATAAATCATGTAATTAATTAAATGTAGGATTAACAAGGTGAAGGGAAAAGATTTTTCCACTTCAAATTTTAGAAATTCAAATACCATCCATATTCCATGTGTGTTGTCTGGTTTTTGGATTTGTTGGGGTTTTTTTGTTTGTTTGTTTTTTCCTAGGCATCCTATAGAGACAATATGTGTCCATATAGAGAAGTTAAACAATTACCTTCATTTTTTCAATAAATACATTTTATGCCCAGGGGTCAATGGTATTATGTGTGCAGGGTTAGTTAAATGAATAATGTTAAATAATATTATTATTAGGTTGGCATATCTGCAGTTACAGACTGTAAGGTTCAGAAGTGTGCCCTTTATTTTACTGGAAAGCATAAAAATAAAACAGTACAGCACAAGGCAGGCAGGCAGTGAAATATGGTTCTGATTTTACTTATGACTTGAATAACTCATTTGCAATGTAAAGTAAAGCCTTACTACCTTTTTGGCACTATCACAGACAAATGCTTCTTAAAGCCCTGCTGAAAATCTTCACCATTTTCTAGGCTTTGAGGAGCTTACACCACACAAGACAGAAGCCAAAGCTTGGAGTGACTGTGTTAAAGCACTATTATGTATCCAGTTTCACTCGCTTTCAATAATTTAAAACATACTCAGCATTTTGTGCAATCAGGTACAGGGGCAACGGTTTCCTCTAGCTTTTTTCAGCAAACAGTGTCTCCACACTGCTACCATGGGCAATTTATTTTTTTTTTTGTCTTTGATAAAACAAAGTTAAAGCAATACTGCTGAGAACATCAGAGTTTGATTTGCAACCCAGCCAGTCAATGGGTTTTGCATTTTCCAAACCAGGTATGGTACACACTGATACTAAAGTTCTGGTGGACTTAAATGAAATAGAGGGAAGACTTTGCATCCCAACTTTCATATTAAAATATTATTTCTAGAAAGGGCTTTTAAAAACTGACTGCTAGAAGCAAGTTCTGATGTATACCTACAATATGCTGTCCCCAGCACTACTAAAGCTTTTCCCAAGCCAGCAATGCTTCATGTCCAAGAAACACAAAACCTTCCAGACAAGAATGGAAAGTGAGAGGATCCAAATTCAAACTCTGTAATTGCCACCTATTGCTTGTGTGCCTCAGCCTGCATATCCATTTCCTCACCTACCACTCTGTAAAGTAAGAAAAAAATACCCCTGACACATTCCCGTCTTTCTCCTACCTTGTTTGCTGTTTATTTAGACTGTAAAGTCCCCAGCAGAGGGACCATCTATGATAGCACTTAGCATAAGGAGGTACCAATTTAAAGTGGAATAAGTGCAGCTATGCTGCAAATAATACACAAACTTGAAAAGAGCAGGAAAAAAATGTGCTTTGAAGCATCAAAGGATACTTAATTAGTATCAAATCTTCTGAAAACAAATAACATTTTAAAGTAGAAATTCTGACTTTGTTTATGAGTCCTACAACAAAAGGGAAAGAAGAAAAGTAATTATCAAAAGAAATATCAGTCACCTCACTGCATGACCTCTGAGTACAAGTAAACCTATGTATTTGTTTAATTTATCTTAAAAGAAAAAGGGCATTACTTGAGAATCTTCCCAGCACTTGGCTGATCCTGTCCCCAGTAGTGAAGGTCTAATCCAAAAGGCATGAGGGGAGCTTTAGCTCTTTCTTCTTCCAGTTTTCTCCTCTTACTGTCAGGCTCTTCCAAGGCTGCTGGCTCAGTACTTGCAGAGTCACTGAAGAAAATGGATGAAAAGTCAAAACAGAACAGCAATGATCGCAACAACTTTTTCTCTTTTTTCATTAGATTTTCACACCAGCAGTAATATTATCTCAGATCTAGGACTACAACTACCTTTACAGGATTCCCTTTCTTCCTTTTTCTATTTTATTTTTTTAAAAAAAAACCCATAACACCATACACTGAATACAGCACAGTGCACCATGGAACTTAACTGCACCTTCAGCTATAGCCAGATAAAATGAGTGTAGAAGCCTGGAGATCTTATAGGGGTAGCAGTGGATCATAAATGCTGAAATGCAACAAGAGCTACTGATGTGGCAAACTGTTTTTAGAAAGATCTTGCCTCTAAAAACTCATAACCACGTTTTCATGGCAGTCTCACAGATTGCAAAGTGTTTGTTTTTGTTGACAAAATTCTATCCTTAACTTTTAAAAGACTAGATGACAAAATGTGCAATTGAATACTCCAAACTCCAGAGTTCTAATAAAGTAAACCTCTTCCTCTTTCTGAGATCACATTCCAGTGTGCTAGTTTTTTGGGGTTTTTTTGGCCAACACAGAAGTGTCTTTTCAGGATCATGCCACTAAGTAGATTACTCCAGTCTCATTCCCAAGTTGCAGATAAATGCTAGACAAGGCTGGAATGTCATCAAGCTTTGAATAGGATTGACAGCAAGAATGTCTTTGGATTCAGTAAAACACACCTCCAGGCAGCACTGACAACATGAAGCCACTAGGAAGCAAGGGATAGTTGAATCTACTTTCTAATTTACTATTAGGATATGCTCTGATTAATTGCAAACTAAAAAATACCCTAATAATAAAAAAAAAAAAAAAAAAAAAAAGGATGAAAGGATGTTGTGGGAGTTTTTTTGTTAGGAGAGCAGGGAAGGTTTTATATTTTCATAAAGGCAAATTACACCAAATAAAACCTAAACCAAGTGAGTACTAAAATATTCCTTAAGAGCCTAGTGCAGTCATTAACAAAATCCCAAATATAAAGCAAGTGAATGCACAAAGAATCATAACTTCACAATGAAACCAAGACAGCCTTAACAACTGGCTTAGTTCAAGACCACTTACTGTGTCCTTCCATAACTAATAAATACCAGTAGAGCAAGAGGTTTCTACAAGAATTAAACCAAAAATAACCTGGCATGTGGAGGTGGTAACTTGGGTAGTTTGTCTCTAATAAGTTTCAATGTGGCAGCTGCACAGGTTGGATCAAGTTCATCTTCATTCCCTTTCAGGTGGGTGCGGGAGCTCAGCGGAGCTGGTCCTGTTGTCGTCTTCGCTGCTGGTGCTTTTGGAGGTGACTGTGGTTCTAGACCTGCAAAAAAACTCAGTGTTTAGGAGGGATTCACTTCTCCCACCCTCAGTGCTTCACAGTGGGGCCAAACAGCTCAGAAGGTGCTGTTTCAGTTTGGATTAGACATCAGTCCTATTCATAGACAAGAGCTGTCTTTTTGTCTGTGAATATTTTCTTATTTTGGGACAGAAACACACTGAATAACTAACTACAGCAAATCAGCTTTTAAATTTGCATGGCATAGTGTGACAACAAAGAATGATGTTACTTCACCTTGAAAAGAAGGATCTTAACAATACATGTTTGCCTGGACTGCAATGCTGCTTTTTGTATGCTAAGTTTCCAGTGTCACATCCTCCTGCTGGTGTGTAACTTCTGTACTCAAGGTTTTAACATGGTAAAATAGAAGAAAGGAACTATTGGCACTATTTTTTAATACCAAGAGTCCCAAACACTCCTAAGAGCAGTAGAAAGCAAAAGCAAAGGCATACATCCATACCCTCCTGTGTGTTAAGATAAAACTCTGTGGTGTCTCAGCAACAAGTCCTGCTAAAACTCTCATGAGGAAAGGCTGAGGGAGCTGGGTCTCTTGAGCTTGGAGAAGATGAGACCAAGGGGTGACCTCATCAATGTTTACAAATATGTAAAGGGTGAGTGTCAGGAGGATGGAGCCAGGCTTTTTTCAGTGATGTCCAGTGATAGGATAAGGGACAATGGGTGCAAACTGGAACACAGGAAGTTTCACGTGAACATCAGAAAAAAACTTCTTTACTGCGAGGGTGACAGAGCCCTGGGACAGGCTGCCCAGAGAAGTTGTGGAGTCTCCATCACTGGAGACATTCAAACCCACCTGGACACGTTCCTGTGTGATATGCTCTAGGTGACCCTGCTCTGGCAGGGGGGTTGGCCTAGATGATCTTTCGAGGTCCCTTCCAAGCCCTAGGATTCTGTGATTCTTGCAGCCCACAAAGACAAACCAGTCCTGGGTGAGGGATTCACTCAGAACTGGAATCATCATCACCCAGCACAGCTGGCAGGGAAGCTCACCCCGTGAAAAAACAAAGTGTGTGTGAGGCATCTCTCTTCTTTGACGATTCTCAGCTGCCCTATCGATCCTCCAGAGACGAGAATACAACTCAAAATATCTCTTTTTTTCCCTTCCTGATTTGTTAAGGGGCAGCACCACTGTGAATAGCAGAATTTGGATTCCTAAATACTTCCAAAACCAGAATTCTTTCACAGATACTACACCACCCAATTTGCCAAAATAAAATACTTAAATGCTGGCAGAAGCAAAAAATATACCCAGAGAGTACTGTCAAGACAAATGACTGAGCTACTCTTGAGGAACAAGCCTGCAATACCAGGCACTGATGTTCAGCACCAGTAGCTCAGTGGTGGGGCAACTTAATTACTTCATGCAGCTGGATTAGACAGTCAGCACAGGCTGCAATGATGCAATTAGATAGGCTGAGCAGTTAGGCAGCACATGCATCTATCCACTGAGCTAGAGAAGCAACTCTATTAGCTGGCAGCAGCAACAAGAACTTTTCAGCCAATGACAGCTGAAAATGGAAAGACGTGATCCCTCACACTGACATAACACACCACATTTTCCCCCACAGAAAGCCTTCTTACACAAGAAGTAACTGAAATGCAAGGCCCCACTTCCCCCAGAAATACAAAAGCAACACAAAAAAGTCATGGTTTCACATGACAAATATTTTAAGCAAACTATCTCAGCCGTTTTTATGAAAAAACAGCTTGAGTTTACCTGACATGTTTCAGCCATTATTTAATTGGGTCTTTTAGTCTCTTGCCCACTTGGAGCCAGCCCTGAAGCTGCATCCAGAAGTATTCTTGCTTTGTTAATTTGTTTTGCTAATCATTAAGTGTATTACAGGATATCAACTACAAAAGGAAAAGCTAATGTTGTATGACCTGCCCTCTGAGTAGGAAACTGCAGGATCTGTAGTGACCTTTGGAACACAAAATACTTTGATTTCCAAGAAAAACATATTTTTTCACCAAAAAAATGAAGCCAATTTGCCCTCACCCCAATTTGTACCTCATAAGGTCTTCCAGTAATTCATCCTGACCTAGATTAATTTGTGCCACATTTCCTGCAATCTATGGGGTGTGACCACACAGAAGGCATTGCCTGACTCCAGCCACAGGTCAAGTTGCTGAGCTGACAACCTTCTGGATCCACTCCCTAGAGACGCATGGGTCTACACTTCCAAGTGTCTAGATTAGAAGCTAAATTCCTGTGCAGGGAATTACAAGGAGAAGTTGAGAGAGCTGTTCAGCCTGGAGAAAAGGAGGCTGAGGGGAGACCTCATTGCTCCCTACAACTACCTGAAAGAGGCTGTAGTGAGGTGACTGTTGGCCTCTTCTCCCTGGTGACCAGCAATAGGACAAGAAGAAATGGGGTCAAGTTGCACCAGGGGAACTTCAGATTGGATATTAGGAAAAATTTATTCACAGAAAGAGTGGTGAGGCATTGGAACAGGCTGTCCAGGGAGGTGGTGGAGGCACCATCCCTGAAGGTGTTAAAAAAAATGGGAAGACACGGTGCTTCAGGATATGCTTTTAATGGTCACAAGGGGGTAGGGCTGATGGTTGGACTTCATGATCTTGAAGGTCTTTTCCAACCTTACTGATTCTATGATGTCCTCATTTTACAGGTCTCCAAGCACAGGGCATGGAGAAGGATGATGCCCTGTCAACCCTCTGCTTAGCCCAGTTCCTGAATATTCTCTCCCTGGAGACAGCTGACAATCCCAATTTAAAATCCACAAAGCTAGAGCTCCTCAGAAGGAGAGGTGAGACAAAAGCAGACATCCAGTTGGATCGGGCTGTGTGTGTTGGGCTGCACAGATCGAATGGTTGCTTCAGTCATTCCTAGATCTTCTGAATACAACTGACTCCAAAGAAAAGAGAGCACCCCAGCAGACTGCCAAGCATAAGGACTCTTCTAAGACCACCTGAGATCCCATGTCTCTCTCTAGTATGGCTTATACTAGTAACAATGAAGGAAAAAGTTTTAAAGGGCAAGGTGATTCAGGGCAGAGGCCAGTAATGACAATGGTGGCAGATGGCTCACCTGTCCCCTACAAAACAAGAGAGGGAAGGAAACAGGATCTAAGAAAAGAGGATGAGAGTGCAGTAGCCATGAGCAGTTAATAAGCATTCATAGAGACTCCTCTGTTTTCTCCTCACTTCCCATGACAGCTCAATGCATTCCTTCTGCTTCAAAGGGAAATGTGGACCATTTTAACAGCTGAAGCAAGTATATCCTTATCAACTATGTGATAGTATTTTCCTTTGTCCCCAGAGAGAGATCAGACCCAGGCCTGGCAGGCTGGAGTGTTCCACTTTTCCTAAGAAAAGGCAGACAACTCACAGGAGTGAACACATATCTAAGAGTGGGTATTTCAGTAGTGCCAGTCCTTCAGCTGCCCAGAAAATACTTCAGCAAGTACCCAACTGTCCAAATGTTCACAGGCAGCAAGCACTGCAGACTGCACAAAAGGACACTCACCACAGCCTGAAGCCAGTGTCACACCTAGCTCTTCCCTGACTGCCTGTTCTGGTCTCTGGAAAACACCTCAAACCCAAAGCCTGCGTTCCTAAGTGGGTGCATCTTGAAGGACAGTGAGCTGCTCAAGCTGTCCAGTGCTTCCTGGGAATTGAAGTTAGCATGGGTTGTGATGCAAAGAAGGATCACTCCTTTTTAGTTTTGATGTCCTCAGACTGGATATTAGAACCTGCCTACCAGCTGCAGACAGACACAGCCCATCTTGGCTGTTGGCTCGTGATGCTGCTGAGCATGCCTGACCCTGCTACTCCCTCAGTCATGCCCACATCACATACTCTAATGAAAGTGATGAACTTGCCACATTGACCTTGTTATCTAACTTCCTTTCCTATAGGTAACAAGGCTTTAAAGAACTTTATTAAAAATCACTTAAAGGCCAAACTGTGAATTGGAAAAGGGTCTGGAAATTAGCAGGACCAGCAATAAGGGGAATTATAACTAAGCATAATAGGATGGAACTAAGCAAAGAAATATCTAGGCTGAATAGCACAAGAAATTACCTTATGACATTTTTTATCAGGCTGTGGACTTGCCATTCAAGAGGGGTAGTGGTGCCTCCAGAAAAATGTTAATTAAACACTTCAGTGAAATGTTAAGGGAGAAATCTTGAATTTATATATCTGTAAGGAGGGCTGGATAGGACTCCATGCCAGCTGCTGTCATAGGCTAGAAAGGAAAAAAGCCTCTCTCAGGTGCTTTGTATCAAAGTGAAACAGAATTAATCTAAAAGATTCCGACATAACCGCACTTGAGAATCATCAGAATTTGGAAAACTAAACTTCATTTTATGACAGAAACGAACAGGCCCTCAGCTAACAAGGGTAGCTGAGAAAAACACGATAGTCTGTACCTGTAGTGTAGAATTGCCAAGATGACATTTCAGCATTTGAAATTGCCTTTTATATCCTTCTTTTTTTTTTTTTGGACAAGAATACTTTTCTGAAAAGCATTTTTTAAAGCAACAGTTCTGAGAGCACTTGTATGTGCACTATTTACAAACTGTCTCGAAGGCAGAAGGTACCAGGTATGTGTCTCCTCTTTGGAGAGAATAAGTGCCTATGTATTAGAAGTTCTCAATAAAACCTAGTTTTATTCCAACTTTTCCTATGATGTTTTCAGAAATGATGATTTCTTTTTCTTTTCACTGATTAGGGAGAAAATGAGGAGAACAGCAGAGACAAGCAGGCAGCAACACATAGAAAAGGCAAGAGAGATAAATGGACAATGTGACATTTAGATAAAATCACATCCAGAAGATCAATATAGGAATTCTTAAGAGCTACAAGAAGAAAATATTTTCTCATTGATTTCTTATTTTAAGCTATTAACAGAAAAACAGCTAAAGGTAAATACACTACAACATGAGTAACACCACCTCTACTGTGGATTTTTTAAAAAAATATTGAATTATTTTTTGGTC